AAATAACGGTAAAATGATATTTTTACAATGAACATTCGCTATTTTTTATAATTTTAAAAAGTTACAATATTTATTTACATTAATCCATCTTCCTTGTCCATCTTCCTTGTCCATCTTTATTATGCTTGCAATGACTATGTATGCTTCTTTTAAAACACAATTTGAGTATTATTAACACAATCTCGAATAATTCACACACGGAGAGAGCACAAGATTGCAAGCATGTGCCTGCGTGGAAACTTCGTCCGCAGAAATATCCAGACTGAGCGTGATCCAGCGTGGAAAACAAATGAGCATCATCGAAAACAGCGCTGAGACGCGCGTGTTAGCAACGATCCCATTTGCAAATCAAGAATATATTCTTAATTTAAGAGGAAATATTCTTATATCTGTTAAGAGGAAATATTAAGTACATCTTTCAAGAATACAATTTTTTCGGTGCAAGAAAACCGTAGCTGAAACGCATCGCTTATCCGAAGTGTATGGTGATGAAACTCCATCAGAAAGAACATGTAGAGTTTGGTATGAACACTTCCGAAACGGTGATTTTAATGTGAGAGACAAAGAATGTCCAGGACAGCCGAAAAAATTTGAAGATGTCGAGCTGCAAGAATTGCTTGATGAGAATCCAGCTCAAACGCTTTTAGAGTTGTCGAAACAGTTAAATGTTACTCCAAAGGCCTATTGAGTGACGAATCGATGCAAAAAAGATCATCCGTAGCCAACAATCGACGCAAAGTCATTTTGTTGCATGATAACACTCGACCGCATGTCGCGAAAAGCGTGAAGCAGGCACTTCTAGAGCTTGAATGGGAAGTTCTCCCGCATCCAGCGTACTCTCCAGACTTGGCACCGTCGGATTACCATCTCTTCCGATCGATGCAACACGCACTTACGGACACACACTTCTCCAGTCACAACGAAGTTCAAAAATGGGTGAATGAATGGATCGCCTCGAAAGACACCGCGTTCTACCGTCGTGGAATTGCCCTGTTGCCATGGGAGAAATGGAGAAAAAGTAGTACAATGGAGGAAATTACTTTGAATAAGGTATTCATTCATTTTCCCTTCGAAACAAATCGATTTTCGGGACGAAAAAACGATAGGAATTAAGTTTAACACCTAATATGTTCCTGTACCGTATTCGTCGATGTAGAAGGCGACCCAGTGCTGGCCAGATCGATCGTGACCGTCTGTGTTAGCGACAATGGCAGTCGACCTCCTTCACACCCTCGGCAGTCGATCGACAGGATAGACCCCGGCATATCGGACACTGAGATGATGTAATGCGTTTAAAACTTCCAGTGAATTCATATCTCGGCGTAGGTAAACGTGAGAGAGGAAATGTTTGCGTAAATTCAAAATTTACCTCTTTCGTCGGTACGTGCGTTGTAGAGTTCTCAAAAATACTCGACGTTTGCGAAACGCTTGTGTTAGCTTTATCTCTATCAGTCGTCAAGTCGAATTTTGGAAGATTTTTTTTCTCTTCGGCTGTCGCTTGTTCGTCCTCGCTTTGGTTAGCCTTTTTTATTACGATATTTTTCCTCGACGCTTCGATGT